CCCCACCGGTTGTCCAAGTTGACATACCTCGTTGTTCATATCATATGAATCCAAATAAAACAGCCAGATGCAGCAAGAGAAACTGCAAAGATCTTTTCCGTTGGGTATACAATTTATTACCACGATAAAGAATAAAACAGTTACTTTCAACGAATCAAAAAATAAAGTGTATCTAATGAAAACGTGGGCTTTTGCGTCTACTACGGCTCGACGTAGATATTGGGAATATTTCACAGTCGACAGACTTAGATTCAAGAGAAGAATTGATATGGTATCCAAAATTCTGGAACCATTATTAGATAAGCATCTTGAAAAAATTCACCAATTAAAATCCGATATAGCAAAATACTGATAGCAGTGATAATAGAAGTATGGATGCCACAAAATTTATTCATGCTGATATTAGCAACATTAGACTTTATCTGAATTCGGAGGTATTCCCATATGAGCGTTGGAATTTAGATTTCTCCAAAAAAATCTATTCTTCTGCCTACTATGCATATGAGAATTTCCAAAGAAGCTACTATGGTAAAGATATGAGTGAACCCATGATGGACCTTGGAGAATTCCTGGAGAACCCACTGTTTATTATTGACTGCTCCCATCAAGCCGATACTTTAAAATCTTCTACGGTGGACATCAAACTGGAATTTGAAACTCGAAAAAATAAATTTCCAGCCAATACTAAGGCTTACGCATTAATTCTTCACGATGCTTACCTCACATACAATATATTAGATGGCTCTGTACACAATGGTTTTCCATTTCTTAAGTAGGACTGTTATGATTTGTAGTTGATAAATATTATATAATTCATTATAATTAGGTAGCTGCTAATTTTGTAATTTAATTGGAAAAAATAAAATAATGTCTATATAATTTCTGTTTTATTTGTTTTATCCTATTCAAAAAATAAATAAAATCCACAAATAATAATAATTATATATTTATATTATGCATACATATATTAAAAGACAATTTATAACATAAAAATAAAATTAAAGTACATGGGTATAGGTGGAAATTGTTTAAATTTACAAATATTGTATTTTCGGTTATCTAACTTCTCCGTCACTCTCATAGTCACTCGTCTCATTTAATCCAAACATATTTAAAATATCTTCAGGTAAATGACTGCTTATTTTGTTGAGAAAACCTTTTAAACCCGCATCAATCATCGCATTGCAGAATTCCTCAATGTTTAATATTCCATATATGTATCTCTGGCATAAATTGACACCCAAAGAACACTTGTCGACATTATTCATATGGTATGCCTTATCTTCCTCCACAAGACAATAATTGGCATTTTCGAGTTCGGTCCATGCTGTAGAATTCAACTCCCATAAAAATCCATCAATTTGCAGATTTAAATAATGTTCCCACTCTTGTACGGACATCGTTCAATGGGATAGAGGTTCACCTAAAACATTTATAAAAAAATAAGACATTTTATTTATCGCAGCAGAAATATTGAATTACCTGACTATATTAAATATTTGTTATGTGATGTTTGAGAGTAATAGTATGAAGTGACGTAGCCAGCGATCTTAAATATAATAATTAAATTATTTCCACCAATACTTTCAGAGTTTATTGCTAAAATCCATTTTCTATAAATACATATATTAAAAAAACGTATATTAACTGTTACAAAAAAAAAATAAAAAAATAATAATAATATATTATTTTTATCTCTGTTGGAGGGCACCCATGGCTATAAGTTCTGTAAAAAGAAAATTGTGGTAATTAGATTTCATAATGCATTTATTGTCTACATTACCGTCAACACCAACCCAGTCATTTTCACCATCATCATCATTATCATCATCATCATCATCTACATCTTCCTCTGATAAGTCTATCACCTCAATTCTTTCTTGATAATGAAAGAGAATTGCATTAATTAGATTTTCTTATACGTTATATATATATATGGATAACTTCTTTTAAAACCTAAACAACCATTCCATACAATTTTTAAAATTTAATTGTTAAAAATATAATGCAGAATTTTTTATTTTTGTTTGCCATCTCTTTTTTTCCTTATTTTTAAAATTAACTTCAATTTGCATTTTAATTGGAAATTTGTTATAAATAGTGTTAACATCGAAAACTTCAATGCTGATGTGAGGATACGATGACACTGCTTAAGATATGTAATTTGACTTGTAACACATGAAAAATCTTTTGATAAAGTTCCTGATCGGGAACGAAACGTTAAGAGTAAAAAGTTTTCTGGTGTTTTTCTTTCTTCATTTTTTAATAACCTATCAGACAAGAACCCTATACCCAAGAAAATAGCGAGAAAATTTTAAGTGTCTCGTGATTTATTTCTATTCATCAAATTCAATAAAAAAATATTAGTTCATTAATATTTATTTATTTTTGGAGGTCCCTCGATAACATAGGTACAGGGTGAAAATATAGTGAATCACCCTGTACACTGCTTTTAAAGATAAATAAAATATATATATTTACGATTAGCATTAGCCCTCTCCCTCTCATTCTCTATCGCTGCCACTATCTCTGGATCGTTCAACCACACCACTAGCCGATCTATAATTAAATACATTGTTAGTTTTGAGATAGATGTTAGTTTCTATTTAACTACTATCTTACCCACCATCCGGTCCTGGCTTAGATCATCGGGAGTGGATGGTGGTGGTGAGGCTGTGGAATCTGGTAACGCAGCATTGTTCACATCGTCACCTCCCATGGATATGGGCATGCTCTCCAAACTCCACGCAGATGACGATCGGCGAAGTGGCGATCTACAGGGGTGTGTTGTAGAGTCGGCTTCGGCGATAATCACTATCTCAGCCATGTTGGTTATAAGGGACACAAATGCAGTACTACAATCGGTGACAGGATATGGCTGAGCTGTCGCATTCACCTGCACTTATACACTCTTGAGAGAAATTTTTAGCTACACCCGATTTTACTAATATTCTACTAATATATTTTTAATAACGCTGACCACTTGTCATTATGGGGAAAATTTTGATTACTAATATTCTACTAATATATTTTTAATAACGCTGGCCACTTGTCATTATGGGGAAAATTTTGATTACTAAAATAAATATTTCAATTACATCTTTTCTATAGAAATAGACAATGTACATTTCAGTTGCTCGTCTAGCATGTAACCACCCTCGTTGCTCTCACAGTTCCTGTATGTTTCTAATTGTCCGTCATTATCCACGTTTGACAATTCTAATTGGTCATTATCATTGCAGTTGAGAGGACGTACGTTTCAGTTGTTGATTACGAGCAATTTAATGTTGAGATTTTATGAAAAAATATGTTGTGGAAACAAAAACAAAATTGATATCCATATTTTTTCCTTCATTGTGATCTCACTATCACACCCTTGTGTGATGTCATTAACAGAAAAAGTAATTTCATAAATTTTTCTCATTCTGGTACTGGATTTTAACAAGATCAAGCACATATCTGCATTTTCCGTGATTGCTCTCTATAATAGTTCTAGGGTGCTATCCAATAAAAAATATCAAATAATTCATAGACATGAATGAATAGTGTAAAGAAATATACCTAATTTTTGGAAAATAAAAAAAATATGTACGAGTTTTATATGAATCGACTCAATAAGATATCACAATTTGTTAGGTTAGACTCTTCGCTGCTGTAAAATAAGGAATGCAGTATTATAATATAGAAGTAGTATTATATGTGTATACAGCTTGTCTACTGTAAGAGGTGAACTCCTATGAATCTCACTTAATATATAACGCACATAAAAAAAATCTTTATATGTTTCTTGCTGCATTTTTTTTTGAGATATTTATGTTCGTAAATACAAATTTGAAATCCATGGTCAGCTTTGTGAGTAATCATAAAAATCGGAATAGTACCGGAAAGTTTAGGGTCATCTAACTTTTTTTATTTTAAGGGATAGAGAAAACCAATTTTAATAAAATTTCACTTAGTGTCAACAGATTTTTAAAATATCATATGTAATTTGCTGCGACCTCTACGCAGGTAAAAAATTGTCATTGAAGCAGGCTGTGACTATAAAAATTGCTTGTTTTTTTTCCACTTTCATGCGTTATAGGTACTACATGTTGTCTGTATCTTCTATATTTATTGCATTTTTTATAATTTTTGTATAAAAAATGTAAACATTTTCGTGTTAACGTACAAATTGTTGTAGACATGTTCAACTACAAAAAATTTAATAAACATAATATACTTCTTTTAAGCAAAATATACACATTATTATAATAGGAATAGAAGCCGAGTAAGCCCAAACCATAACGTCAACTTCCATGCAGTTCAATGGGTGGTTTTGTTTGGAACCTTTCCACCATCCAAAAGATTGTTAAAATTGATTAATGGGTATTCGAGTTATCTACAAAATTCAAAAAAAATTGGTACATTATGAGGGTAATTAACTATTCAATAACATGTTGGAATGAGAGAGCATTACAGAAAATACAAATATGCGCTTGATCTTGTTAAAACCCTATGTCTTTCAGAATGTGAAAAATTTATGAAATTACTTTTTCTATTAATGACATTATGCAAGAATGTGGTGGTAAGATCACAATGCGGAAAAAATATGGATATCAATATTGCGTTTCGTCTCTACAGCATATTATTTCACCATTAAACTTTAAAATCTTCTACGGTGGACATCAAACTGGAATTTGAAACTCGAAAAAATAAATTTCCAGCCAATACTAAGGCTTACGCATTAATTCTTCACGATGCTTACCTCACATACAATATATTAAATGGCTCTGTACACAATGGTTTTCCATTTCTTAAGTAGCACTGTTATGATTTTTAGTTGATAAATAGTATATAATTCATTATAATTAGGTAGCTGTTAATTTTGTAATTTAATTGGGAAAAATAAAATAATGTCTATATAATTTCTGTTTTATTTGTTTTACCCTATTCAAAAAATAAATAAAATCCACAAATAATAATAATTATATATTTATATTATGCATACATATATTAAAAGACAATTTATAACATAAAAATAAAATTAAAGTACATGGGTATAGGTGGAAATTGTTTAAATTTACAAATATTGTATTTTCGGTTATCTAACTTCTCCGTCACTCTCATAGTCACTCGTCTCATTTAATCCAAACATATTTAAAATATCTTCAGGTAAATGACTGCTTATTTTGTTGAGAAAACCTTTTAAACCCGCATCAATCATCGCATTGCAGAATTCCTCAATGTTTAATATTCCATATATGTATCTCTGGCATAAATTGACACCCAAAGAACACTTGTCGACATTATTCATATGGTATGCCTTATCTTCCTCCTCAAGACAATAATTGGCATTTTCGAGTTCGGTCCATGCTGTAGAATTCAGCTCCCATAACAATCCATCAATTGACAGATTTAAATGTTCCCACTCTTGTACGGACATCGTTCAATGGGATAGAGGTTCACCTAAAACATTTATAAAAAAATATTTTTATAAACATTTTATTTATCACAGCAGAAATATTGAATTACCTGACTATATTAAATATTTATTATGCGATGTTTGAGAGTAATAGTATGAAGTGACGTAGCCAGCGATCTTAAATATAATAATTAAATTATTTCCACCAATACTTTCAGAGTTTATAACTTGTATAACTAAAAGCTTGTTAAATGTAAAGAATGTTTGGTTAACTATTTAATTGCATTAAGATTATAACAATATAAAAGCTTGTAAAATGCAAAAAACCATTTCAAAAACTTATAACTTACTTGTTAGGAGCACTAGATACAATTACTTGAATAAACAACGGAAGGATTTAGAAAATAATTTAAATTATTACTTACTTAATATTTCAGATCGTAGCAACACTGCACTAATACCAATTTCTGATGTGTGTAGGTAGTATAATTCTAAATCGAAAGCTCGCGTCTTTTTATATCCAAAATGCGGTTCCGTGATGCACTAATGCGACTGGGTCATTATGGGGATATTCCGTGACACATTAAATGCGATGTGTTCTCGAACAATTAGCCACCAAACGGCTTTGTATTTAATATTCCACTAATGTATTTTTGATAACACTAATTACCTGTACTTATGTGGAGAAATTATAAGTCGTCGGGCGAGCTCGACAAGAGGTTCAGATTTTGCTTGGGACCTTTCTGTCACGCGTTGACACCGTGTGACCCTCGAACGATAAACTTTAAATATATATTTTCTATAGAAATATGTAGCACAAATATTGGTTTTTAATTACTATTCACTAATGTGTTTTTGATAACGTTAATTATTTGTAATTACGCTGGGGAATTTCGGTAGTAAAATCCAACATGAGTTTTAAATATTTTCTACACAAATATGCAGCACAAATATTGGTCTTTTTCATTGAATGACCTCATTTGACCTGGAAGTCATTAGCATTAATTTTGGGGCCTTCCGCGCAGACCGCAGCCATCTTGTTGTTGTTAGCGACCTGCCGCTACGTGCCACACCCCGCACGCCGCCCGCCGCCCGCCGCCATGCAGACCCGCCTCCTCCCAACAGCGACATCTATAAAATCCTGGCGGCAGAATTCCGAACTAACCCTCTGGTCATTGACCAACTATTCAGCGACCCGCCCTCCTCTTCAGCGACCCGCCTTCCTCCACGCAGACCGCAGCCATCTTATCCCTAACGACCAATCACCTTCCACGCAGACCGCCGCCATCTTGTCCCTAACGACCAATCACCTTCCACGCAGACCGCCGCCATCTTGTGACGTCACATCCGCTGTAGACCGCACCCATCTTATCCCTAACGACCAATCACCTTCCACGCAGACCGCCGCCATCTGATCCCTAACGACCAATCACCTTCCACGCAGACCGCCGCCATCTTGTGACGTCACAACCGCTGCAGACCGCACCCATCTTGTGACGTCACCTTCCATGCAGACCGCCGCCATCTTGTCGAACTCGATGGACACTGGCCATGTGACGTCACTTCCGGCGTAGAACCTGCCTAACTAATCTACTCACATGAAACAGTTAAATTGTACAACACTTTTTTAACTAAAAAAAGTTTCAGCGTGTAAACTAACATTTAAAAAAGTAAATCAAAATAAACGGATTATGGTAATTAATTACCTATTAATAACTGATTTTAGATTTTGTAAGCTACTACACCACCATTACTAAAATAAACAGTTGTTGAATGGGCTGAATTGTTGATGGTCATAAATGCTTAAAAAAAGTGATAAAAACAGAAAAATATTAGGACACAGACTCGGAGACATACATAACAAAACAGCTGCACAATTAAATAAATGAGCAAAACTGGAAATACTACAGTAGATGCTGAAATTGTCCCCCATTTTCTTCTATGCAACTTAATTTTTCTCGAAAATGGTACATGCTACCGAATTTCGACAAGTATACCTTTTTTTTTTGTAGTATGCTTTAGTTTATAGAACCGTTTAGAAATGTTATAAATTTTGAATTTTAACATATTTTTTTACCGATTGTACCCCTCCAATTACCTGTATCGACGACACTGCTTTTCAGAAAGAAACTGTTTGCATATTATTCTTAACGCACAGTCGATGTTTACTTGTGTACAAATTTTGATATTTTTATCTTTAGCCGATTTAAAGATAATTAAGGAAAACCATTTGGAAAGTAACAACTTCAACACACTGTATCTCAAAAACAAGGTGCCTAAGAAAAAAGTTCACATGAACTACCCCTATTATATTTCCATGAGGAACATGCACCACAAGTTTTCTTGAAACATGAACGGGACACCCTGTATAAATTCGTAACTAAAGCTGTATATAGTTTAGTATTTTCATTCTATTTCCAAGTATGGTATATACAAATATTTTTAATAAAAATTTTTCTCGTTTTTTGTTTTAGTGTACCAAATTAATAATTTTTCAAGCTTGTGATGAAACACATAGAGTAACATTTTAAATGGTAACTAACATATTAATAATTATTTTGAAGTACACATTTGTCGCTTTTTAGCAATATAAAAACTAGTAAATAAATTTGATTTAAAAATGCAAATAATTCCTAAAACTTGATTTTTTTCTCTAAGTAATAAATGTATATTTTAAAATATTAAAATACATGTTTACCTATTTATAATATCGAATATATATTTATTAACTTACTGTTTTTACTTACGGCGAAATTTTATTCTTGATATACAAGAAAACAAAATATATCTACATATACAGTTTAATTATTTTTATGATTTTATTTGGGAAGAACGATAATGCCTTTTTTTAAATTGTAATCAACGCGACTTGAAAACAAACAAATAACAAAGGACTAAAAATAGTTTTAGATGATATAAATAAATATGTATGTTTATATTGCCTACAATATTTTTTAAAAATTGAACAGGTATGCAAACTATAAAATGAAATTACGTATTCTACTACTTTACCCCTATATCTAGCTTTTTTTCTAACTAAAATAAATATATGCTGAGAAACTTTAATAAATAACTCACCCTTGTAGCTGTTGTCTGACGAACACACAAATTTAATTGATATAAAATTTCAGTTCCCTTAGGTTTATATATCCTACTACCCCAAAAGTTTTAACATTAATTACATTGCCCCATAATCTCTAATCTAGAATTTCTCGAAATGCATTATTCTCTAATCTAAGATAAATTCGGAACATTCTGCAATATTCTTTCCAAATTAAGAAGGCTAGCCAAAGGATTATAAAAATTTGGCTAATGCACATAAAATTTAGGTATAATTTACAGGTATAAAGTAGCTTAATAGATTCCTAGGTACTTGTTTACATTTATTAAGATAGAATAAAGCGTTTTTAGATATGTTTATAGGAATTTCATAGTAAAGTAACTATACCCATAGAAGTAATGGCCTATGTTTATATACCCTTTTTTAAATTATTTTGACCAGAAGAACACGTATTCAAGGTTTATCGACTTAATCCTGAAGCACTCTGTATTTTTATACAATTTAAACCTACTCACTAGATTTAAAAGTGACTGCATGAAGTCGACAAAAAAACATTTTCTAGCGGTCATTTTAAGAAATATACTCATAGCAGTAGTCAACACGTTCACTTAATTTAGCTTTGTTTAAATATTTTAAGTGTGACAGCAGCAAATAATAATTCAATCCAAATTGGAGGCGATTTTGTTAGATTTTTTTATTTTCCTTACAGAATGCAACAAAAAAATTTTTTTTTTATTTTTTTTATAACTGCCTCAATTTTACTGCTGATCATTGGCGCCGATAGCCAACTGCCTAGCTGTCGGTTTAGTCGAATAGCCTGTAATTGAACAATTATGCATTTTTTACGATTTTAGTTGTCTTTTGATTCATAATTATATGCAATTATGTCGAATTGTCGAGTGTATGTAGTTGTAAAAAAGACAGTAAAAAAATAATGCTATCCTAAGACAAAAAATAATATTTAACGTTAGAAAACAAACCAGTGAGAGATTTTTTTAACAGAAAATAATTTTACGAAACGAAGGGAAAAGATTGAGTTCTAAAAATTAAAATACATATTTAAGCTACTCCCTTCGAAAGTTTCGTTATTTTAGTTTTGTTATAAAATGCATAACATAGTGAGGAACAAAAAATTATATCTGCGGCTTGATTCTAAAAGGCCCAATGTCAATTTTTTGCTTAAAATGAGTTGTTGATACCATCGAACTACATTTTTCGAGGTGTAGGTATTTATAATAAAAAGGCCAATGGTGGATTCCTCTTAATTACCATTGTATTGAGAGTTGAGATGGCCAATGTACTTTGCTGGGATACGTTTATACAAAACTTTAAAACGGCCAATGTTAATAGCCCATAGCAGTAAAAAATAAAATGTTTCTAAAACGGCCAACGCCTTATCTGATTAATGGCATTTCATTTTATAAACGAAAATTATGGACCCTGGCTTATGAAAATCGGGGAAACAGTAACTCTACAATGTGCTACCTATAGAACAGCAAATAGCCTCCTGTTTGGTTTCTAAAGACATCAATGAAATAGTTTTTTATACTGAATTTTTGCCCAGGTCAAACCAGAAATATCTTTCTGCGAATTATGTTTATGATGGCCATTGAAGTGTCTTGGAATATAGGAAAAGAACTGATAATTTACTACAAATTCTTAGTACCTGAGCATACATGGATTATCCACGCCGCCATAGAAGAAGCCAAAAAAACTACTACATATAAAATAGTTGTTCGTCCTATCGCCTATTGAAAAGGCCAATGTCAAATTTTAAATGTTTTTTCGCATGTCAAAATGGGCCAATGTCGGAATTTTTTTTCTTAATATAATTTTTTTCTAATCACTTAAATCCTTTGGATATATAAAATTTATTTTTTAAGGAATTTGTAAAATAAAATTGTTTCCTAGATTTTTATCTATGATTAAGTTTGAGTTAAAAACTTTGATTGCCATTTTCTTAAATGAATAAAAAATGACATTGGCCCTTTTAGAACTAAGTCACAGATATATTCAGATCAGTACCGCAGCTTTATCAGTAGTAAATTTGCCCAACAAAGTGGAAGTGGTCATCGGGCGAAGTATCAGTAGATATCAACAACTTACGTGTTTAGCAATGACATAAATATTGTGACTACACA